CATTCATATGGTATATGAATACTATAAGATTCATAAGCACAAAATTGGTAAGTTTTATAGTCACAAAATTGGGAAATCCATATTTTTGCTTCACTTCTATGAATGAGGACATTATATTTTATGCTTTCAGATTATACATGTTTTCTTAGCATCAGTTCCTATCCTATTTTATTCATACCAGTATTTCTTAATACCCCTTAAGATTTTTTATGGTTTAAGTAATTCCATTTTTGGGTGCCTGGGTGGCTCAGTTGGTTAAGCGGCTGCCTTCAGCTCAGGTCATGAGCCCAGGGTCCTGGGATCGAGTCCCGCATCAGGCTCCCTGCTCAGCAGAGAGCCTGCTTCTCCCTCTCCCTCTGCCTGCCTCTCTGCCTACTTGTGCTGTCTCTCTCTCTCTGTCAAATAAATAAATAAAATCTTTAAAAAAAAAAGTAATTCCATTTCTATATTCTGGCAATTTTTACCTGATTCATAAACTACCTTTTTTATTTTATTGATTAGAAGTAATTTACAATAATGGTTTTCAGTGATGAGTAGAGTTTACAAATTCTGTGGGGCAGATAATACTATACCCATTTTTTAGATCAGGAAATTGAGGCCGAGAGTGATTACATTACTTGAGTAATGTCTTATCCTCTGCCTTCTGATTCTCAGCTCCAGTATTCTTCCCACAATACCATAGCTGATTTTAACAATCCCAGATAATGGACTAACCATTGTTCCAAGCATATTTCCCCAACCTAGACTAGTGAACTCATAATTTGATTGAGTTAGTGTGCCTTCTAACCAGACATGTTTTTCGGTAAGAGAAATACCTTGCTCTAGATAGCCCTTTGGGTAATTTCTATTGTCCTTAGTAAATATCAACACATGGTATTTTAGATATAGTAAGAGATATTTTTTTGTAGTACTGTAATACTACACTTGGCTCCATAATGTTGTAATGATGCCTTTGAGTTTCTGCTTAAACACACACACACAAACACACACATCATTTTTCTTCCCAAAGAAAAGTTTTAACTCTACATTATGAAGAATGGAATGCAGCTTAAGCAAAATGAAATGAAAGTATGTCCTAGACATATGAAGTTTTACTTGTACTAAGAGAAATGCATGGTAAAGTGCACTGATATACAATTTCATCTGTTCAGTTATTTTTGTAATAAACTCTGTTAAATGCTGGGATTTGGGGTTAGTAAATAAACCAGACATTTCCCCACAGTTGGGATTAAAAATTGGTACAACCACCACAGAGGGCAATTGATGACATTTATCAACACTATAAATGCTAGATAGCACTTGGCTCAGCAACATGTTCTTTGAACTTTAGCCTGTGGATATACTTGTACACACACAAAATTATGTTTAAGATTATTCATAGGTTTATTATAGCAAAAATTGGAAGCAAATGTCCCTTGATAGGAAGTTGATTAAATAGAATACTATACAGCTGTTAAAAAGAATGAGAAAGCTCTATACTGATATGCAAAGAGCTTCAAGCAACATTAAATGACAACTGCAAAGTACAGAATAGTCTTAAGTTACCTTTTGTGTAAAAAGGGAAGAATAAGAATATATTCATTTTTCCATGTACATACATAAACTCTTGAAGGATATACAAAGGATTGATAAAAGTGATTACCGGGCGCCTGGGTGGCTCAGTTGTTCAGCGTCTGCCTTCAGCTCAGGTCATGATCCCAGGGTCCTGGGATTGAGTCCCACATCGGGTTCCCTCCTCGGCGGGAAGCCTGCTCTCCCTCTCCCACTCCCGCTGCTTGTGTTCCTGCTCTCGCTATCTCTGTCTCTGTCAAATAAATAAATAAAATCTTAAAAAAAAAAAAGTGATTACCTGCTTGAGATTGAAGGCAAAAGAGGCAACTGGATAGCTGAGGAACAGGTAGAAGAGACACATTTTCTTTTGAACCATGAGAATATTTTACCTATTTTTAAAATATATGTGAGACAGAGAATATATAAGCCAGAGATTAAATAGACACACTTTTGCTCCCTAAAATGACAATAAAGCTTTTTTTTTTTTTTTTTTAAAAAGGCATAACACTTGCAAGGACAGAGAATGGAAGAGGAAGAAATAGCAAATTTGGGGAAGCTGTAAAGCAGGTGAATGAATGGTACTGACTCAGCAGACCTACAAAGCCAAATTCTTTGCTGACAGTGGGAAAAGCTGAAAAGCTTTCACACTGCAGATTCTCCAAAATGTTCAGGAATTGGCTTTACCAGGTATCTCTGGAAATGAGATTGAAGGTGGGGCTAAAAATAGGAGGATTGGTTGACAGTCTCTTTAAGAAGCAGTTAAATCCCCAATTGCACAGCCAGGCAAATTCTCTTCCCCAGTATTCAGGTTTAGCCTCTGGAATGGGGGGAACAACACAACAAAAAACTAAACAAAACACCCCACAAAACTCTCTCTATTGAGATGTACTGGGAAGCGGGGGAGGGGGCAGTAACTTGCTGATAACAGTGATTAATTGAGCATTTGCATGCTGAATACCAAGACCCTCTCCCTTGTCTCTCTTTTCCCACTTGGTGCCCAGATTAACAATCCAGTCTAGGCTGAAGATGCTTCATTATGAAATCTGACCAGTCAAGAGAAAAGATATCTGGGGAACCCAGTGAAATGACCACCCAAAACACCCTACACTAAATCTCACAGTTGACAAGTGCTAGCATGAACTAAGAGCTTTTTAACAACTTTTTAGTACCTCCACTTTTAAATATGAAAAACCAAGATTACTAAGGAACTGAGGAGAGTTTTAACAATGAAAGATAAAGACTATAGTGGATGCTGTGTTGCATTGCTCAGCTCTGCCATTCAAGAACTGAGGCATTCTTTCCTCCAGCTGCTGTTAATATTGACTTGAGGGCTCAGAGCTGAGTGGCTTTATAGTGTCACTTTACCACAGGCTTACATCTCTTCCCCAGAGCAGACTACATCCAGTCTGGTTGAGATAAGGGGTTTGAGCTGTGGGCACAAAGATATGTTTCCTTTGCCTCATTTAGGAGCACTTCTAAAGGGCCATCCCATCTCCAGAGCTCCCTATGGGATTGGCTGTTGCAAGTGCATCACAATTCAGTTTCTTAGTTGCTTAAAGGTATTGCTCTTGAAGGCACTCCCCAATTAACCATCTGCCCCTAAATCTCAGTCTCAGGAAACCCTGCCCACAGCAGAATCCAGATCAAATAAGTAGAAAAAAAGTGAGAAGAAAAAGATTAATAACTTAGGGTAGATAAGAGAAGATACTACATCCATGAGATAAAAAATGCAAGACACCACAGAAGAAACCTTGAAAGAACATAAAAGAGCTTCTGGGAATTAAAGAAAATATATGATGGCAGACATGAAAAAAACTGAATACATAAGTTGGAAGATTAAATTGAAAAAATCTCTGAAAGAAGAAAAAGACAAAGAAAAAAAGATGTTTTCAAGGTCATTCTAATTATCTGGCATCTGAATAAAAGAAGTTTCAGAACAGAGAACTGGGTGTCATGGGGAGGATATAGGGAAAGCAGTCATCAGTAAAATAATCGAGTAATATTTCTCAGAAATTAAGAATTCGCTTCCAGGTTGAGTGCTTGGCCCAATTATGTATATTAGGGCACCTCATAGGGAAACTTCAGAATACTGAGGGGCAAAAAGAAGATTCTATAAGCTTCCAGAGAGAATAGATAGGACACATAAAAAGTATTACGAATCAGAATGACTTCTTAACAGCACGCTGGAAGCTTGAAGACTATATATAGATCAATAGGATCAAAATGGTGAAGAAAAATTACTTCCTAGCTAATACTTTATACCTAGCTAAACTATTAATGAAGTATGAGGTAGAATAAAAACATTTGCAGACCTACAAGTTCTCAAAATATTTACCTCTCCACTTGTCTTTTCTGGAAACTCCTGGAAGATATACTTGCCTAAAAGGAGGAAGTATAATAGGAAACTTAAAGATGTGATGTCCATGAAAGAGCCATCAACACAGAAGCAAAGCAGAATCTCTTATGATGTGGGTTAAGAGCAATACTAAGATGCTAGCTGAGCTCTTAGGCTTAGAGAGTGACCAGTTCAGACTGGAGCAGGTCAGAAGGGTTCTGGCAGAAATTATTCAAGAAGATGAAATTACTAAAATACCTAAGTGAATAAAAAATTGAGAAGAGATTTAACAATTTTCAGAGAATTTGGAGTTAAATAAGCAAAAGTAAAAGCAAGACCATTATTAACTCCAGTGAAATGAAAATTGATGCAAAGAAAAAGTAGTAATAATGTTCTTTATCACTTGACTCCAAAAAAACACATCATAAAAGGTAGACATTGAATATTGATCTAACCAAAATTTATGAAATAATATTGGGAGGATGAGGGAAGTGTGTGTTGTATACATGTGTGTCTATGCTCATGCATGCATATTTGCTGGAGTTAGAAAGAGAAATAAATGTTCATCTTCTATAGATAGAACTAGTAATGTAAGCATGGAGCATACTTGAGTGTTAAGAACATAAACTGAGTCCAGACTACCTAGGTTTGAATTGTAGCTCTGTTACTTTCCAGTAGTATGATCTTGGGCAAACTACTTCTCTGTGCATCAGTGCTTATATGTAAGAAGGAGATAATAATAATAATACATACCACACAAGGTTATTGTGAGGATAATATAAATGTGAGCTTAGAACATCACCATACTGTTATATAGTAACTACTATATAAATATTTTCAATTTATGTTATCTGTTATGGACTGAACTGTGTCCCCCACAAATTCATATGTTGAAGCCCTAACCTCCCAGTACCTTACAGCGTGACTGTATGTGAAGATTTCCCCCACATGCCTTGAAAGAGATTATTATGTTAAAATGAGATTCTTAGGGTGGGCCCCAATGTAATCTGACTGGTGTCTTTATGAGAAGGGATTAAGACATACAGAGAGAGACACAGGGATGCATGGACACAGAAAAAAGACAATGCATGGACACAGTATTTCCTTCTCACAGATGGCACACAGAGAAGGTAGACATCTGCAAGCCAAGGAGAAATGCTTTAGGAGAAACCAAACCTGCTGACACTTTGATTTTGGGTCTTCTAGCCTCTAGAACTGTGAGAAAATAAATTTATTACTTAAGCCACCCAGGCTATGATACTTTGTTATAGCAGTCTTAGCAAACAAATACATTGTCCTATTATTGAAAGATTGGGTTGAATACCATAAGATTCAATTTAAAGAACTGAGAGTGTTTGCCTCTGGGAAGCAGGATATGACAGTGGGGAAGAGAGATTGCTTTGTTGTTTTTTTAAATGAAAACTTTGTAGAACTCATCAGCTCCTTAAACTATGTATATTTATAACTTTGATAAAAGTACAAACAAAAAAATGGAGGGCAGTGTCTGAAAAAATCAGTTACCTCTTGCCTTTTTTCATCTGAGTGATTAAGAACTCTCTGGAGTTCTCTTTCAAGCACTGTGGACATCTGGGGTTCTATCAAAGATGCCATCAAATGGGGATTAATGGCACTTTGGGCACTCTTTATTAATGCCCGCTAAATTTAGTCTAGCCTCAGTACTGTCCAAGTAGCTAATTAGGACTCATTGCTCCTGGGTAGGAACCTGACTTCACCAATAACTCTTTTGTAGCTGAGCCCCTTCAGAGAGATTGTGAAATTCTCACAGCTCTTGATAAGAGATGTTATATATTTGTTATGGGGATAATATAATATTTTATGGGGATAATAATAGTCTAGTTCAATGGCTCAATGACATTATTAAGGACCAGGGTTTCTTATCCTTATTCTGGGCTGCAACTTGTAGCATTCTGGCTACTCTCTTCGTAGGTATAAGATAACTGACAGCAACAGTTCCAGACCTCATGCCCTCAGAAACATTATCCAAAGGCTGCATAGGAGAAGACATCCATATTCATATCCCTCTTTAAGAAAGGAACCTTTTGCCAGAAGCCCCCAGCACAGTTCTCTACATCTCAATGACCATAATTGCATAGCATGTCATTCCTAAACTAAGTAGCCAGAGTAATGGAATTACCAGTGTTCCCTTAATCCAAATAATACTCTGAAGATGGAGAGAGTCTCAGGCTCCCCTGAAACACACCTCTGACCCATACTTGAATAAAGTCAGGATTATTTTAGCAAGGAATAAGAGAGGAGAAGGGCAAATGTTATGAAATAGGAAGAAGATATATATTGTTTTAGCAATAGTTCTGGTGTGATAGGAAGGGGAAGTAGAAAATTCTTTCACTGGGAAGGGGAGAGAGAGGAAGGTGGTAGATCAGAGATGAATGTTCTGGCTCCCTACCTTGAGGTTTAAATTTAGGGAAGGGTATCGTGGGCAGAAATTAAGGGTGATAGAAACACCCAGAGTCCTGGTGAAGGGACACTTAGTCCTGGCTTCTCAAGACAGCCTAGGAAATTCTAAGTTTTTTAGGGAATCCTGAAACTGGGATGAAGCCACAGCCAATGGGTCACTGTGTAAGAGATTAGATGGCTGAAAAATGAGGCTAGGTGAAGGCTCTGATATTGTGTACAAATTCCATATAATCTGAAGTTTTTGCAGAAGGTGGATTTTAGGGGCACCTGGATGGTGCAGTTGTTAAGCGTCAGCTCAGGTCATGATCCCAGGATCCTGGGATCAAGCCCTGCATCAGGCTCCCTGCTCGGTGGGAAGCCTGCTTCTTCCCCTCCCACTCCCCCTGCTTGTGTTCCCTCTCACTGTCTCTCTCTGTCAAATAAATAAAATCTTAAAAAAAAAAAAAAAAGGTGGATTTTATGCCTAGAGACTTTGGTTGAAGCCAAGGTCTTTCCAGACTACATCCAAAAGAATTGACAAAACCTGCAGCACTACAGGGGAGTTCCCTTAAGCTGCAGCCTGAGAAAATGAAAGCTGCACTCTGCTTTTACTCTTCTCAGGAAGGTGAAAGGGGAAGGAAGGGGACTGAAGGAAGGTGAAAAACAATCCTGACAGGGACTTTGAACTTTTCCTGGACTGAATATTCACAGCTCAAGATGCAGATAGACAGAATTACATTTAAATGGCAAGTTGCTCTTGTCCAAAGGAAAATGGCTCCAGAATAAGAGATCAGTTATGGTGAATAATTATCATTTTTCTTCACCTCAAAGTTATGAATTTAAGCTTTGCTATATTTTATATTTTTCAGGATTGTCTTCCTTTTTTTACCTTTTGGGGAAACATTGTGGGAAAGTGGAAAATGAAAAAAAAAATGTGAGGATGGAGATGTATAGGATCCTCTTGAGAAAGGGCTAATGCTACATTTACATGAACATTAATTAGGATTACATAACAATGATGTAAAATTATTTAACTGGCCACTTTAAGAAGTTAATATGGTTAATCAAATATTTTTAGTGTAAGTAAACCAAATATGATTTGGGCTTTTTTAAAAAAATGCATGCATTAAAATGTTTTTTAATATGAAAAGATAGCCATGATTCAGTACAGAAATAAGCAACCAGGTTACTTATATTTATTTTGTTTGCATTATGTTTTCTTTTTACTACATATGTTTAACCAGGTGGAAAACAACAGAAAATTTTCATTTTTAAGAACAAATATAACCTGGTCAGGAATTGAATTTACATTCTAATTGCATTATAATAAATCAGGAATGTTTATGGTCCCATCTAGCACCTAGTTAAAACTCAACACATGTATAACAATAATAAGAAAATTTGTTGGCCAAAATGTTGTAATAGCTACTCAAAATACATGAGTAAATTTTATATTCAGAAAAGAAATAACAGACATAGAAAGTGTATTTGAGGCACATGTATCATTTGAACAAGTGCCAGAGTTATGTAGCTAAAGATTAAAGTGTGATTTAGAGATATATTCCACACCGTATGCACGTGCATCCCCTCCATTAGCATTAATAGAATTTACATGCACACAGAGGAGAGAACTGAAATTGTTGAAAGGCAAAGGAGGAATGATTTTAACTCTGCCTATAATTCTAGAAGCATGGGACTATATTATTAAAAGGTCTGTGAAAGGCCTTAATTTAGGAACTGAGATATAGAAGCTCAATATCAAACTGCTACATGTATACTTCGTTTGTATTATTAGAGAAAAGTGAGGCAGGCAGGCTAAAGAATTTGTCAAAGACTGTTCTGGGATCATAGTATTTTGTGGGAAACAATATATGCATTTTGGATGTGGAATAATTTGAGGAATATGAACAATTTCTAATCTGAGACAAAATGTAATTGATGTTATTGTAGCCATTAGCAGGCACACACAGAATTATATTACTTATATTCACCTATAAGCACCTGTTCCCTACCCAGGCTTTAGAAAAATATAAATACTTTACACCTATTGAGTATATATTTTTTTCTTGCTGCAAGATTATCAAAAAATTGTTGAATCCTAAGGTAATTTGGGGGGGAATTGGAGGGAAAAGTAAATTTGTATCCTTCTCCCATGTACTGCTTACCTGGAAATGACTCTCATTAAATATACCCATTACTAAGTATTAGGAAGAAATAAATTAGCTAAATAATTAATCAGACCAAGATGGTGACAAGTGATAGACTTAACTTTCTGTGGGAATAGTTATATTTGAAAGTACGGTTTATTTGGAAAGCCCCTTGGCAATATATTCATTCATTCATTTGGCACATTCTTAGTGAATGTCTACTATGTGCCAGTCACTTTTCTGGTCTGCTGACCCAGAGGCAAATAAGTTAAAGTTCCTGACCTCATGGACTTTACAAGTGAGCAATATGCATTAAGGACTTTAAAAAATTTCTATACTTTTTGGTTGTTAATATATCTGTATTAATCCAGTCTCATAAATACTTACAGATTTGCACAAAGATGGATGTATATGAATTCCCATTGCATCATTATTAAATGTTTAGATACTTTTGCATATGTTTTGAAATTCTCTATAATAAGAAATGGATATTTCTATCTAGTAAAAAGGAATACTTTAATTGTCTTGATTTTTTTTCTGCCCTTTTTGAAATTTCTGAGCATACATTGCTTTTTTAATTATAAATGTTTTTAAAGGCCCTTTTAGTGTAAAGATGCAAAACTGATGAACTTTTGGGGTAGAAGATATTTGTAAAGAGCAAACCCTCATGATTTTCCTTGCTTATACACATTGTCTTCCCCTGATTTTTGAAAGATTGCTACTGCTTGTGCCAGAATCCTGTAGTAGATTCTTCTGTATCATAAGAAGCTAGCTCAGAAAGGTTTGAGGTGCTGGGTATGAGTAGAAATATTTGGGCTGGAATTGAGCTTTAAGTGAGAAGAAACTGTAGAAGGAGCCTGGGTGTTTTTCCTACTTCTTACTAAGAAATGTGAATTGTCAGGTGCTCAAATGCAAAATATGTCATCATGTATTTCCAAGTATTCCATTCTACTTCCAGGCAATGGAAGGATTGAAATCTCACCCCCTGTGAAGTTAGGTGGACTGTCACATGTTTTGGCTAATGAAATCTGAGCAGAAGTGCTATGTGTCAAACAGAGGTGGGAATGGTAAGAGCCTGTCTGTACTCTATGGGGTTCCCTTGCTGTGATGATCATGAGGCTCTGTGTTAAGATGGAGCTTCTACAGCCTGGGTTTCTTAGTGACTTAGTGATAGGATTGAAATCTCCTGTGTTTCTCCTTTGATATTTAGTGTGGAAATAATTAAAGGGTTGTGTTAAGTTACTACATTTTAGAAGTTGTTTATTATCACATCACAGTCCAGCCCCATTGAACTAATAAAAAAGGTAAAGAAAAATTATGATATTTAGATAACAACACAGATTTCCATCCACAGATCACTCACTGAATAGTTTGTCTTTCAAATAAATCATTTGATTTTTTTTTTTAACCCAAATGGTTATCATACACTAATGAGTCAGGAAGAGTTGAAATCTCAGACATCAAGTCATTTATTTATACTTTTAATATCCACCCCTTCTGGGGCAAAGAATGTCTCTAGGTTTTAACTTTAGCTTTCTCTGTGGGTCATATCAGTCACAAGCAGTTCATAAGATGGTGGGAGTTGTTCCGGCATGGCTCTAAAATAATAAAAAAAATATATATTGATCTCCACCCCCCACCCCCATTCCTGACATAGAGCTCTTGAAACAACTTGTAAATAGGGGTGCTAGGAGAATCTTTTTGTCCTAATATTTATCTTTGACCCCAATTTCTGACACAGAGCTCTTAAGACCTTTGTAATCTCCAGAGTAATAGGAATGTCCAACACAGAGCTCCTAAATTCCTTGGAATTTCCTGGGTGATAGGAATGTCTTGTTCTAATGAGTTGACTCTAGGTGGGCTCCTGGGTGGGGCTGGTCACCAAAAAGACCAAGTCATGATTCGAAGTTTGAGACTTTCAGCATCACCCTTCATTCTCTAGAGATAGGAGAGAGGCTGGAAACAGTTAATATTCCATCATACCTATGTAATGAAGCCTCTATAAAAGCCCCCATAGGACAGGGTTCATGGAGATTCTGGATTGGCAAACACACTTATGCTGGAAGGTGGTATGTCTTTATGGAGACTGAATCTCCTGTGCTTGGGACCTTCCCAGATCTTATCCTATGTATCTCTTTATCTGACGGTTCATCTGTATCCTTTTATCACATCCTTTATTATATTATAAACTGGTAGACCTATATGTTTCTGTGAGTTCTGTGAGCTATTCTAGCAAATGATTGAATCTGAGGAGGGGCGTCACGGGAACCTCTACTTTGTAGCTAAGTTAGAAGTTGTGGGCAACCTGGAAACCTACTACTTACAATTGGCATCTAAAATTGGGGGCAGTATTGAGGACTGACCCCTTAACCTGCGGGGTCTGCACTAATTCTAGTTAGTGTCAGAATTGAATTGAATTGTGGGACACCCAGCTGGTGTCACAGAAAACTGCTTAGTGTGAGGGAAAAAAAAAAAAAGAAACTCCACACATCTGGTGTCAGAAGTATTGTAAGTGTGGTAGCAGTGTGAGAGTAAAGGAGAAACACACAGAAGTGAGTTTTTCCTTACAAAAGGCCCATTACGTATAATCAAATCTGCCCATAGAGGGTCAGAGAGCAGTGTGTGAGTTCTTTTGTGGCTCAGCCACAAAAGCCATCTACAAAAATAGGACCATTGCTTTAGATGTGGGTAAAGGATCTTTGAAACCTTGACCTTGGAGAATGGAGAATGCTTAGTATTTTTGTTTACTTATTTTTATTTATGTTAAACTAGAAGTTTCTAAGTATGATTCTGTGACTCACAGTTTGCCTACTACTTTGTAACCATACTGTTATATTTGAAGTAAGTTGTGACAAACTGAAGGGACTTTTCTTTGTTAACTCTGCAAAGTCTCTGTTATAAACAAGTAGCATGCTTTTATAAAATAGGTAATTATGAAGCACCTAAGATCATACACACTTTCCTTGGTGTGTATGTTTTATTGGTTTTCTCTGCAGATAGATTTTTTTTTTTCATCCAGTCACCCCAAAGTTCCCAAATTTATATCAAGTCAGTTTTTACCACCAGCAGAGACAAATTAGAATGGTTTAATCCTAAATACAACTTCCTGGAAAGAGACTCTGATTGGACAAACTTTAGTGTAGTATCCAAATCTGGCCCAATTAATTGTGGCCTATGGCAGTGGGTTACTGAGTTACACATTGGTTCCATGACTCATCTCTGGATGGGGTAGAATATTTGCTCTCAGAGAAGGAGGCTGACAACCTACAATGTGTAGGCTGCAGATAAAAGTTGAAACACAGTACAGTTGGAAATCATTGCCCTAGTGTATTATTAGTACAATTAAATTAGTAGTATACCCTCAAAGTATTTAATGATCACAACCATTTTATAAAATTGTTCCTTTGAGCTGTTAGCTGTTAAAATATTTCTATATGGTTTTTAGTTAAATTAATAATATAAAGAGAAAACATGTGATTTAGGGCATGTCATTTTAACAACCAAGCTGTACTTTAAAAAAATGACTTAGTATTCAATCTTGATATCAATGAATATATAATAACATATGAAGATGAGAATGGATTTTGAGTAAAGTTTATAGAAAGTATATGAAATAGTGATTTGAATGATTTAAATATCACTAGAAGAGATATTTTATAAATCGAACAATATATTTCAAATTCCAAACTCAAGGAAGTAAAGAAATTGTTAAAGATTTACATTAGGGCAGTGTTTTCTAAAGTATTAGTTTTACAAACTGCTCCTCCAAAAGGTTCTTTGCTGTATGTAGGAGAACTGCTCACTACATTCACCTCTTCAAAATTCACATTTCATATTAGTATATCAGAAGCTCTGATAAGTCCTATAGGAGTGAAAGTTGATTAACTTTGTAACCCAAGATTGATTATGACTTTTTTTTTTCATTTAGCTAAATAAAAATGCTGCAGAATTAGTGTTATGAACTCAGCAAGTTGTCTTACTTTGAGGGCTTCATATCACTCACTACCTGTTAGTTTTTATATACTCCTATAGTCAATTGGAGTTACTATATTCTAATAATACATGTTTTAGAAAAGAATGATAAGAACAAATGTCAAGCAAATGTTGGCATTTCCCAGGTTCCTCAAATCCTCTTTTGGTATTCAAACAGCCCCTAATAAGGACCATATCACATATCAGGACCCTGGGATCATGACCTGAGCTGAAAGCAGACACTTAATGACTGAGCCACCCAGGCGTCCCTAGGCTTAGTCAATTTAATCTAAACTTTTATATACTGCAAGCATCTCGTCTCCATGGATACCGTTACAAACAGATGTTCTTAGCTGAAGTCACTTTGAAAGAGTTCAAGGGATGATAAATGGAAAAGTTAAAAAGATAAGACTTCACTTTACTCTTTACCAAGCAAGTTATATATTTAGTCATTCATACATTTATCCAACTAATATTTATTGAACATTTACTATGTGCTGGGCACAATGTAGAGATAGGCAGTCCCGCCCTTTCAGAATTGACATTTTGTCATGAGAAAGAGGCTTGTCTACTACAATCTCATGCTAAAATATTATACTATAGAAAACTTCAGTTCCTGGTACGCTTGAGTTCCTCAGATCTCCTAGACCTTCAGGCGTCAGTGCTTCCTCAGTGAGTGTTGGAGGAGCGAGATGGTGGAGGAGTAGGAGACCTAAATTTTGTCTGGTCCCAGGAATTCAGCTAGATAGGTCAAACCATTCTGAACACCTACAAATTCAACAGGAGGTCAAAGAAAAGAATAGCAGCAATCCTATGAACAGAAAAGCAACCACTTTCTGGACGGTAGGACTTGCGGAGAAGTGAATCCGAGGCGATATTCAGGAGGTTAGACAGTGGGGGAGGGGGCCTCCGTAGGCTGCTTCTGGCAAGTGATAGAGCCCCGGAACACAAAATCGGAAATTTTAGAAGTCGGCTCTGCTGAGGGACATCGCTGCAGTGGCTAAGCGGGGAGTGGAACCCTCCCTGAGACAGTGGGGTCTCAGGATCCTCGGGGTCACAGAAAGACCAGGGTTGCCTGAGTGCAGCAGAGCTTCCAGGTATCGGAGTGGGGAAGCTAGCTGCAGAGACGGAGCTGAGGAGTGGGCTCTCAGCTCGGGGATGCCATAAACCTTGATCCACAGCACAGTCGGGCCACTGCTCCTCCAGCAGGGACCCAACAAGCGGCAGATCTGGGGAGACTCCCCTTCCTCCCCCAGGAGGAGCGGTGCGGGAGCGCACCGCAGGGATCTGCTGGATTTGGAGACTCCACACCCAGTCGGGTGCCAGAGATAGAAATGCTCAGTCACAGGCGGGTGAGCACAGAGTGCGGCTGGAGACCGGGGAGGCTGGAGTGATTGACTGCTTTTCTCTGGAGGTGCACTGCGGAGTGGGGCCTGAGCTCTCGGCTCCTTCGGGCGGAGATTGGGAGGCCACCATTTTCACTCTTGTCCTCCAAAGCTGTATGGAAAGCTTGCAGGGAACAACAGCTCCTGAGAGCAAACCCGAGCAGATTACTTAGCCTGCACCGCCACCCCGCAAGGGTGGGGCAATTCTGCCTCCCGTAAAGACATTTGAGAACCACGGCAACAGGCCCCTCTCCCAGAAGATCACGCAAGAGCAGCCCCCAAGACCAAGTTTACCGATCAATGAGAACGGCAAACCTCCAGTGCTAGGGGAATACAGCACATAGAATTCATGGCTTTTTTCCCCATGATTCTTTAGTCTTTCAAAGTTAATTTTTAAAATTTTCTTTATTTTTTTCTTTTTCTATTTCTTTTTTTTTCTTTTTTTTGAATTTTTCTTCTTTCCTTTTTCAACCAACATCTTACCTTATCAATTCCTTTTAAAAAATATTTTTAATTTTCTGGGGCGCCTGGGTGGCTCAGATGGTTGAGCGACTGCCTTCGGCTGAGGTCATGATCCTGGAGTCCCTGGATCGAGTCCCGCATCCGGCTTCCTGCTCGGCAGGGAGTCTGCTTCTCCGTCTGACCCTCCCCCTTCTCATGTGCTCTCTCATTCTCTCTTTCTCAAATAAATAAATAAAACCTTTAAAAAT